CAAGATGGCTCCAAGATGGCTCAAGATAGCTCCAAGAAGGGCCCAAGAAAGCCCCATGACGGCGCCAAGAGCGCCGAAGAGCGCTCCAAGAGCGGTCCCAGAGCGGTACAGGAGACGATTTTTGGAGTTCCTGGGGGGGGGGCTCTAATTAAGGAACCCTACTTCCTTGACCGATGTCCTCCAAGATTGCCCCAAGAGCGCCCCAGCAGGGCCTTCAAGGGCGCCCAGACGGGTCCAAGAGGAGCCCAAGCCTCCCAAAATAGCTTCCCAAGAAGTTCCCAAGAAACCTCAAGAGTCTGCCTCACGCCATTGAGAAGTCCCACCAGCCCTCTGGGCGTCGGTGGTTTAGAGCGTTTCCTCTTCCACCCCTCCTTCTTCCCCTTCGGGGAGGGGTTTACCCCTCCCCCTACCCCCTCCCCACTGACCTGGACAGGGGGGGCCGCGATCGGTCAGAGCGTCCAAAACGGCCTCGGCGAGGAAGCCAAAATCATTGATTTTACTATGGTTTGGGCCCCATTTTGGCCTTCTGAGGGGGGGGCTGAAATTTAGGAACCCCCCTTCTTTGATCGATTTCCTCCACGATGGCCGCAAGAGGCCCCCAGGATGCCCCAAGAGGCCGCAGGATGGCCCCAAGATGGCCCCAAGAGGCCCCCCAAGAGGCCCCCAGGAGGCCCCCAAGAGACCCCCAAGAGGCCCCAAGAGACCCCCCGGAGGTGCACCCAAGGTGCTCCCAGAGGCCCCAAGATGGCCCCAAGAGGCCCCAAGAGGCCCCCAGGAGGCCCCAAAGAGGATTCCGAACGGCCCACAGAGGCCCCCCCGAGGCACCCAAGACGCCGAAAAGCCCCTCAGGACGACCCTCTACTCGCCTGGGCGTCGTTTCTGGACGGGCTGGTGGGGATACGCGAAGCGTCTAGAATTTCAGAAATGTGGCAAATCCATTGTGTTTTTGGACCCTGACCCTGCCGATCTGCGCGAGGTGTGCCACCGAATTTCAGAAATGTGGCAAATCCTTTGTGTTTTTTGGACCCTGACCCCGCCGATCTGCGTGAAGGGTGCCAGCGAATTTCAGCAATGTGGCAAATCCTATGTGTTACACCTTGACCCCGCCGATCTGCGTGAGGGGTGCCACCGAATGTGAGAAATGTGGCAAATCCTTTGTGTTTTTGGACCCTGACCCCGCCGATCTGAGTGAGGGATGCCACCGAATTGTAGAAATGTGGCAATTTCCTTGTGTTTTTAACCCTGCCCGCCGATCTGCGTGAGGAGTGTCAATTTTTACCCTGACCCCAGCAATTCAGACAACACGCTCAGGGCGTGGTAAAAATGCCCGTTTTGGGCGCCCCCGCTCGCGCGGTCCATCAACAAGGAACAGTAAGCAGCAAGAAGCAGGACTGTAACAGTGGAAACTGGAAGCTGCAACTGGTACAGGAAACTGCGAACCTTAGGCCTACAGCCTGGTGGCCCCACAAGGGGGCCAGCGGATATATATATATATATATATAATATATATATATATATATATTATATATATATATATACACACCTCTTCCTATATTTTCACCAGCCCAGGCGGGGGGACCCCCCCCCCAAAAACCGGACTCCCGGGATCTGGGGCTTTGGGGCCCTTCGGACGGGCCTCGAAGCGGCCCCCCGGGCTTCGCAGGGCGTTTTGCCAAGCCTTCGCAGCACGCAGCACACCTAGGGCGACCAGGGGGGTTATCGGAGACGTCCCAGAGAACCCCAAGACAGCACAAGAGCGCCCCAAGAAGCCGTCATACACCGAAAGATCGCTCCAAAACGTACGAAGAGGCCTCCAAGAGCACCCCCAAGAAGGCCCCAAGAGGGAATAATCATAGATTTAATGTAGGTTTTTGGTGAATTCTTGACGCTTCGCGTATCCCCACCAGCCCATCCTACACCAGGCACTCGAACGAAGAGCGCCGATGATCGGCAGCTGTTCTCCTCCCCCTCTTTCTCCTTCTCCTCCGCCTTCTCCTCCTCCTCCCTCCTCCTCCTCCTCCTCCTCCTCCTCCTCCTCCGCCTCTTCCTCTTCCCTGGTGGCGTCTTGGAGGTATCTTCGAACGTTTTGGTGGGCTCTTGGGCCTCGCGGGCGGGCGGGCGGCGCTCCGCCCGTCCGCGCGCAGGGCGCAAGAGGAGAGTCCGAGACGTCTCTTGAGGCCAACTTGGAGGACATCGATCGCAGAAGGGGGAAGCATTTTTTAGCGTCGCCCCCCTGGGGGGCACGATCCTCGTGAGGGGTGTCGAATTTTTGCCCTCCCAGGGGTCGTTCTTGGACGCTCTAACTACCCGCGGTCCCCCCCTGTCCACGTCAGTGGGGAGGGGGTAGGGGGACGGGTAAACCCCTCCCCGAAGGGGAAGAAGGAGGGGTGGAAGAGGAAACGCTCTAAACCACCGACGCCCACAGGGCTGGTGGGATTTTCAGCCATATTGGAGGCTATCTTGGGCTCCCCGAAGCTCTTTCGGAACCGTCTTGGCCCATCTTTCGCTATCTTGTGAGCCTCCTGGAGGCCTCTTGGGCGTCTCTTGGGGCGTTCTTGAAGCGCTGTTGGAGGCCTCAGAGGCGCTGGTAGAGCCCATATTGGAGGGGATCTGTCAAAGAAAGCGGAAACACTAATTAGCGTCGCTCCTGGAAAGCCTCTAAAATCGCCTCCTGAACCGCTCTTGGAGGGCTCTTGGAGCGCTCTTGGGCGCTCTTTGCGCCGTCTTCGGGCTTTCTTGGGCCCTTCTTGGAGCTATCTTGAGCCATCTTGGAGCTATCTTGACGCCTCGGGTGGACATCGGAAGCGAAAGCGCGATAACGCCAAAAATATTGATTTTCCCTAGGGTTTTGAAACATTTTGGCTTCGTGGGGGCATCCGAGGGGAGCTCTAGTGGACACTTAGAGCCGTCTTGGGGCGGTCTTGGAGCGTCTTGGAGCATCTTCGGAACCATCTTGAGGCATCTTGCGCTATCTTGAACCATCTTGGAGGCGATCTTGGGCTCCCTGAGGCCCTCTTGGAGTCGTCTTGGCTCATCTTGGACGCTCCAACGCGTCGCGGCCCCCCCTGTCCAGGTCAGTGGGGAGGGGGTGGGGGGAGTGGTAAACCCCTCCCCGAAGGGGAAGAAGGAGGGGTGGAAGAAGAAACGCTCTAAACCACCGACGCCCAGAGGGCTGGTGGGATTTCGGGTTCTCCTCTTTTCGGCTTCCCGTCGCTACAAGACAGCGGTCTTCTGGGCGTCCGAAGTCGCCTGGGAGGCTCCAAAATCGCCCCGCAACCATCCGAAAGGGCTTCCAGGCAGTCCAAGAGAGCCCCAGAACTGCACAACAGGGATCCAAAATGGCCCTAAGAGAGCCCCATGGCGGCCCAAGATGGCCCCAAGACGCCCTCCGAAGCATTCCAAATCGTGACTGGGGCGTTCAGGGAGGCTGCGGTTAGAGGCAGGTTGGCCTTAGGAAGCCCCAGAGGTCCCCAGAACACGCCCAGGAGGCCTCCAGAAGGCTCTAAAAAAGCCTGAGAACTTTGGTGAGGCCCCCAGAGGCTCTCTAAGGAGGAGCCTCCGCAAAAAGAGCTGAGGAGGATGGGGAGAACACCCAGGGTATGGCGAGAATGAGGAAAAAAAAGCATGGAGGAGGGATAACGAACAACATTATTATAACGGCGATGCCAGAAAAGGCAGCGATGAGTTATCGCAAAATTGTCCGCTTGACCTTCCTGCCATTTCCGCCTGCATACCAATCTTCAAGGACCAAGGTGCATGGCGCGAAGCGCCACTGCAGTCTTGTATATATATATATATATGTATGTTTTCCTCCTAAGTTATCCTGGAGGGCATCTTGGGCACCTTGGAGGCACCAGGTCGTGGGGATCTGGAGGCTCCGAGGGGGCCGGTGCGCCGTGGAGCTGGTTCCCACCCCCCTTTTCCCTCTGAACGGGTTTTCGGGCCCCAGGGGTGGGGCATTGGGCCTGTGTTCGGTATCGTTTAGCCGATCCCCATCCCCATCGGGCCATGTTACCCATCAAGCAGTGGCGAAGCGTCCTGCCTCGCTTGTAGGCCCACCAAGGAATGTTCCAAGAAGCTTTTGTGATTTCGGCGAGGTGGTCTTAGAACATTTCTGGCTGAGACTGCTTTATTTTAACACATTGGGAGTATGTTCTAAGAGCACGGTTTTTGTTGTTCGAGCATTTCTTGTTTCTAAGAACATGTCGTGGTAGGTCTATAGGAATGCCGGGACGGGCGGTCCCTGCTCAAGTCTAAGCCCCACCCCAGAAGAGGAAGAGGTCGCCGTATGCCTGCCCTTCCTTCGTTTTCCCCTTTTCGGGGGGGCCTCCTGCGAGGCTGGGAGGCCCTCGTCGCCACCGCTGGATTCGCTTCGAAATCTTGGCCAGAACGCACCCCGGGAGAGAGGTCCAGGGGTAGCAGTATCGGTTGTTTTGGCTCCCCCAGAAAGGGGGAGGGTGGCACCAAGTGAGCCACGCAATGAAACAGTGTCGTGTGCGCCAACTTTCGCGCGTGAGTTGCGCGCGTAAGCTCAGGCGTAAGTGCCCCCATGTCCAACAATGCGTGCCGCGCTGGCGAGCCGCGTAAGCCGCGGAGTATGGTCGCTGTGCCATCTCGCGCAAGACCTGTTTCTTGTCCGTCGCCCACATGTCTCGCGCGCCTTCTCTTTACCCCGGCAGGCCTTGGTCGGCGGATCTCTCTCCCTCGCCTTCTCGTCCCCGTCCTCGGCCTCCCTTACCCTCGTCATCGTCATCGTCGTCGTCGTCATCGTCATCGTCCTGCTCCTCCTCACCTCTTCCCCCCTCCCTCCCCTCTCCCCCCCTGTCTTCAGCCACCTCCTCCTCCTCCTCCTCTTTCTCCTCGTCATCCTGTGTTCTGACTCCTCATCTTTCTCCACCCTATCCCATGTACTGCCTCCCTATCGCCTCGTCATGGACGGGGGCGTGTGAGGGCGTGTGTGGAGGGGATCGGCATAGAGGTCGGAAGGGTGGTCTCTCGAGGATTCCAATCTGGTCCAACACCACGCGCTCCAACCAGCACAGGGCGATTTCCTTCACAAGCTCGGTGAAGCACAAGTGGCTGTCGGCGGCCGTGATGGACAGGTGCAGGACCAGGGGGGACAGGTAAAACTGCAGGGAAGCTGGGAAACATGGCTGGGGACAGCGCTTCCACTCTTTCCAGCCTTGGCCACACTCACTCCAGCTCCTCCAGCCGCAGCGACCTCGTCCCAGTTTTGTCATGCTCGTTCCAGACCCTGCCAGACCTTCAAGCGCCGATCACTCTCGCTCCAGCGCAGTGTCTGGCTTCCATTGTTTCCAGCTTCGTCGTGCACCGGGCTCTTGGACACAGTGCAGTGGGGGCGCGCATCAAGAAGCCACCTGCCTTTCGTCAAGGTGCCCTGGGTTTCTTCGCTCCGCGCGCGTTGCGGTGACTTCCGCAACCGTTGCAAAAGCTGCTGCGCTCAGGATGCTCGGGCTTTCACTTCGCGCGCGGGGTTTCCGGGGTTGGGTTTCTTGCGGAAGGTTTCTTGCGGCCGCGCCCGCACTGCAGGTTTGCGCCGCGTTGGCGGGGCTGCAGCCCTGGCGCAGGCGTTCCTGGTGCAACGCCGCCGGCCGCCTGTGGCCCGGGGTCGGCCGATGTGTCCGCGTGCCTGCGGCGAGCCGCGCTGCGCCCTGCCGGCGCAGCAGCGAAGCAGGAGGGGTGTTCGGAGGGCACCAGCTGTCAGTGTCGTTTCACCGATCTCCATCCCCATGCTCGTCCCCTTCGAGATCCGCACCAAATTATATCCCCAATTGGGGATACACCCCTCGAAGCCCGAAGGATACGGCCTACATCCCCGTCTAGGGGGGCAAGTCGGCCAGTGGGGCCCAGCCCACGCTGGTGGGGATGGGGATCGGTTAAACGATGCTCAAACTATACACCTGCACCGATCCTGGCCAGCCCGATCCTGGGCCCGGGATCGGTGTATACGCATTCTGCCCATGGCAGGAGGGCGGATGCCCCGATCCTGGACCCGGGGTGGTCCTGGCCAGGATCGGTGTTGGTGTACAGCTTGTGCCTACCCAGATGTTGAGTTTAACTACTCTTGGGCGGGGCCCTCTCGGGGGATTTCTTGAGGGCCACAGGGGGTCACGGGACCGTCTTGGGCGCGACGTTTCCGCCGAGCTCTCCCGAAGAGGCTCGATTCAACCTGCTTGGGGAAGTCTGGGCAGGTCTTGAACGATCCATGCAGTGTCAGAGACCAACGCCGACGACAGTGCGACGGGTACCCGCAGCACCATGTGTGAGCTGTCCCGGAAATGCGTGTACCGGTCCAGGAAATCCGCGTGTACCTCCTGAAGTAGATGTCCCTGTTTTCATTCACTGCTGCATGTCTGTAAAGAAGCATGTGTGGAAGTATGCTGCGACTCTGCGTGCGTATTCGGCACTCTCTCGAGGACGTCCTCCGAGCCGAGCCTGGAGGAGCAGCAGCACAGCCTGAAGACCACCCTGAGCACCATGCCGCACAGCCAGGCGAGCGGCGTGAACCGGGGGGGGGGCGACTGCGCGGACACTCGCGCTCGAGCTGCCCGCCGGTCTTCGCGCGTAAGCGCCCGCGCTGTTCGTGGCCCGCGCAGGCCATCGTGGACGGTCGCCGTGCTTCCTTGCGAGGTGCAACCTCTATGCCACGACCACCCCTGTGCCGAGCCGGAAGCGTCCGCGCCCGAGGAGAGCACGTGACCAGACACGGGCCCGAAGCTGTGGCCGGAAAACGTGGTGTGTCCCGAAGTTTCGGCAGACATCGACATGGCAGTGGTTTCTAACACTCTCGTGCCACACTGAGGCACATCTGGGCGCCTGGCTCTGTCACACGATGGCGCATTTCTGGGCCCCGCGTTCGCTCACGGCGCCTCGCCGACCGGGGGGAGGCCACGCCACTCGTTCTTTGTCGCTCAGGTGTTCCGCTCCACCAACGAGTTCTATCGGCAGGGCTTGAAGCAGCTTGCCTCCGGCATCGACCTTGCCACGCAGACCGTTTAGCGGCTGGTCGGCATTTGCAGGCAGCAGCAGGAAGCTTCAAGGTGAGGGAAGAGGTGGAGCAAGTCAGGGGCGGCTTGACCCACCCTTAGCAAACATACCCCTCCCGTGGCGACCCCCCCTTCTCGCTCCCAGACGTGGGCAGCCGGCCGCAAGCGATCTTCGAGGGTGAAGGGAGCGTCACGGAAGGGGCTCGTCACGGAAGAGGTCGGTCAGGCCGCGCTTGAGAAAGAGGGTCGGGAAGAAGGGGGGGTAGGTGAGTATGCTAGGAGTATTTGTCTCTACGCTAGGAGCATTTCGTCAATGGGGCCCGAATGGGGTCGGTGGGTACTGCTCCTGTACACTGCCCATGCGAGCTATAGGATAGCACTGCACTAGAAGGGTCGACTCGTGGTCGGGTGACATCCTTCCCACAGCCTCTCGAGAGTCGCTCCCCAAGAGTCCGTAACCTCCCTGCTTTACACCGCTGCGTCTTTAGAGCCTGCACCACTGGGTCGCGTCACATGCGCAACGCTGATAGAAAGCGTGCGTAGCACGGATCACGAGCATTTCGCCCGTGCTCCGAGCTTGCTGCAAGAGGGGTTCAGCGGCGGGTCTCCGTCCATCCCCCCGACCGAGAAACACCAAGCTCGTTCCACTACTCGCAAAGCGCCTACTCGCAAACGCCCGGAAAACATATGTCTGCCCCGCTGAGATTCATCGCAAATCCCCCGCGGCGGATCCAGGCCATTTGCGAGTAGTTATTTTGCGAGTCGTGGAACGCGCTCGTCGAGAAAAGGGCACGCTCGAAGGGTGGGAGCTGCTGGAGGAGGAGGAGGAGGAGGAGGAGGAGGAGGAGGAGGGGGAGTGGGTGGAGGAGGAGGAAGATGAGGAGGAGGAGGAGGAGGAGGAGGAGGGGAGGGAGGGAGGGGAGGAGGAGGAGGAGGAGGAGGAGGACGAGGAGGAGGAGGAGGAGGAGGAGGAGAAGGAGGAGGAGGAGCAGGAAGAGGAGGAGGCACTGGGGACCGTCCATTTGGGAGGAAGCCCCGGGCGGCGCGCCTACGCCGCTCTGCCGGCGCGCCGGCGCTCCTTCGACGGCGAGGACTTCTGCTTCCGCGGCGGCGGGGCGGAGCCTTGCGCTCCACGTCTGTTGCTCGGGTCAGGCGATCCATTAGGGGAACAAGCAATAACATAAACATAAAACATCAGAGCTCCGCGCAGAATTCTCGGACCCGCGCTGGACCCCCCTGGCGGCGCCTCCGGCGCCGCCCCTGGCGCGCTCCGCGCGCCAGGAAGGGGGGTCCAGCGCCGATCCGAGAAATCCGCGCGGACCTCCGAGTTTTTATGCTTATGTCATTGTTTGGTTCCCCTAAGCATGGATAGGGGGGGGGATTAGCGACGGGCCCCGTTGACATGGAAAAAGCGCAGATTTCCGCTGCCGAGCGAGGCCGCACCAGCCGCATTTTGGGCAGGGCACTTCCCCGATCCATGTTTGCGCTCCCCCGATCGGGCATGGTCCCAGGTTGCTTTTTCTCAGGTTGTGTTCCAAGTGTCAGCCACGCGCAGAGGGGGGTGGGGGGAGGGGGGAGGGCTTCTTAGAAGCACCCCTGCTTCCTAGAAGGCGCGGGCCTTCTCTGTAGATGTAAGGCCGGCGCCTTCTAAGAAGCAGCGTCCTTCTAAGAAGCCTTCCCCCCCCTCTCTCCACCCCCTTGTGCGCACCGCCAAAAGTAGCGGCCAGCAAGTAGGGCCGCAGAGTCGCGCAGTGGTCGCGCGCGGCGTAGCCGCAGCAGCGGGCCCCCCGGCCGCATCGTAGTCGCATCCGTGTGGCGGAACCGCACCGCGGGTGACGGCGGCTGGTCTTAGGATCAAAAAGGTCCTCCTCGTCTTCATCTTATTCCAGGTCGAAGAACAATAATCGGTGTAATATAAACTCTCGAAGCTCCGCGCGGGTTTCTCGGATCGGCGCTGGACCCCCTGTCGGCGCCTCGGTCGCCGCCTCTAGCGCGCTTCGCGCGCCAGGGTGGGGGTTTCAGCGCGGATCCACGAAGTCCTCGCGGACCTCCAACAGTTTACGCGTACGCCTTTGTTCAAGGGAGTGAAGACCACCCGTTCTGGACAATTGGCGTTTACTAAGCGGCCCTGGACGCTAACTAAACATCACCGCCTTGTTCGCCAAACGACTTCGCGTGTCGGGGGGGATTCTTAGGGGGGTGGATGTTTGACTTTCTTTGTGTCCTCCAAGAGAACCCTCGTCTTCACCCCCCTGCCTGGGACTCAGACCACCGACGTAAAATCTCCTGCGAACGCCGAGACGTCTCGCCCAACCCGGGCCGACACCGACACCAAGGACTCCCTTTTCCTCCTCCTCCCCCTCTCCTCCCAACCTTTTGCACGTCTCGCGTCGCATGAATCCAGACTCTCTTTTCCTCCTCCTCCCCCTCTCCTCCCAACCTTTTGCACCTCTCGCGTCGCACGAAGCCAGACACCTTTTCCTCCTCCTCCCCCTCTCCTCCCAGCCTTTTGCACGTCTCGCGTCGCGTGAAGCCAGACACCTTTTCCTCCTCCTCCCCCTCTCCTCCCAGCCTTTTGCACCTCTCGCGTCGCGTGAAGCCAGACACCTTTTCCTCCTCCTCCCCCTCTCCTCCCAGCCTTTTGCACCTCTCGCGCCGCACGAAGCCAGACACCTTTTCCTCCTCCTCCTCCCCCTCTCCTCCCAAACCTTTTGCACCTCTCGCGCCGCACGAAGCCAGACTACCTCAGGATCCTGGAGGCCGTGGCCTCGCCCGCCCGGCCTGCCCTAGGCGCCTAGGCCCAGGACGCTCTCTCCGCAAACGGTGGTCGCGTCGCGTCGCACCGCCGGGGACTACTGAGGGGTGTGGGTTCTGAGGGGGGTGGATGATAGGGGGGGGATTTTTGGGGGGGGGGGGAGATTATTAGGGGGGGGGGGGGGGGATTATTGGGGGGGATATTGGGGGGGGATTTGAGACAGGGTGGATTCTGGGGGGGGATTATCAGGGGGGGATTTATTGGGGGGGGATTATTAGGGGGGGATTATTGGGGGGGGGGATTATTGAGGGGGGTGGATTCTGAGGGGGGGTGGATTATTAGGGGGGGGGGGATTATTGGGGGGGGGGATTATCAGGGGGGATTAATAGGACGGGTGGACTTTTGGCTTTCGTCGTGTCTTCCTCCACGGGAGCCCTCGTCTGCACCCCCCCTGCAGGCTAACGGCACGGGCTCGCCGCTGGCCGCGCTTCGCGGCCAGCGGCCGGGGGAGCCGTCGTTCTCTCGGGGGGGCGGCGCGAGGCGACGCGCGACGCGCGTGCGCTCTCTCCGCGGGCCCGCCTCCTCCCTTTCCCCTCCCCTCTCCACGTCCCCTCCCTCCCTCCCCCTCCCCTCCCCTCCCCTCCCCTCCCCCTCCCCTCCCCTCCCTCCCCCTCCCCTCTCCCTCCCCTCTCCACGTCTCCTCCCCTCCCCCTCCACCGTCCTCCCCTCCCCTCCCCTAGGGAACACCGAAGAAGACATAAACATAAAAACTCGGAGGTCCGCGCGGATTCCTCGGATCGGCGCTGGAGCCCCCTGGCGGCGCCTCCGCGCTCCGCGCGCCAGGGAGGGGGGGCCAGTGCCGATCCGAGAAATCCGCACGGACCTCCGAGTTTTATGTTTATGCCATTCTTCGTTCCCCTCCTCCCCTCCCTCCCTTCCCTCCCTTCTCCGCCGCGGTCCGCCTCCCCTCCCTTCCCCTTCCCCCTCTCCTCCCCTCCCTTCCCCCTCCCCTCCCGTCCGCTCCTCTCTCTCCCTTCCCCTCCGCCTCCGTAATTAGTTTTAGTTCGGGCATGTCCTCCTGCAGGCGGGTTTTGGAGGAAGAATGAAACACAGTCCAGAAAAAATCAAAGATGGTCAGAAGTAAACCCAAATTCGTTGCATATTGTTTTTCCGACTATTTTTGAATGTTCCTCCCGTAGAGGGACACGCCCGACTCCACCGTAGCCATTTTGGCTCAAACCGTTCTGCCCTGCGTCAGGCGCGCGCGTCCCTGAACCCGCTGTTGTCCTAGTGCTGAGGGTTGTGTTCTGTGGCGTGATCTCTATAGCGGAGGCGAGCCCACGAGAAGCCTTCCACGAGAACCCCAACCCCGAGACCCCAGGACGGCCATGGGCTCTTGGCATGGGATCGCCGCGCCTCCCACGGCAGAGCCATGGAGACCCAGGAGACCAAAGGGCACCCCCAGGAGGAGGAGGAGGAGGAGGAGGAGGAGGAGGAGGAGGAGGAGGAGAGGAGGGGAGGAGGAGGAGGAGGAGGAGGAGGAGGAGGAGGAGGAGGAGGAGGAGAGGCAGGCGGGTTGCTTCTTGGCACGGGCCTCCACGGAGCCCTTGGCCAGGTCCCCGGCGCCCCTCTGCGGGCGCGACGGGCCGAGGACGGCCCACCGGGGCGCAGGCGCCGGAGAAGGCGGCGTGCCCCAGCCATGGACCCAGCTTCGACTGCAGTGTGATCGCCAGCTACGGTCAGGTCGGGCCTGTGCCTCTGCAGGGGGAATCTTTCAGACATATTTTTGGAGTATAGTTTGGCAATTTGGGAGCATTGTTGGGGTATATTTCGTATCCTTCGTCGGAAATCCCCCTGTAGGGGGACACGCCCGGCCTAAAGCTACGGTGGCGCCATCACGGGAACGCGCCACCTCAGGCTAAGCGCATTGTGCTGGAGCATCGTGCGCGCCCACCATCACCAGCAGCATGGCGATGCGATGTGTGTGCCGCCATCAACTGGATGACGCCGCCAGCTTGCTACAAGTGTCTACAGCACGAAGCACCTGGTCAGCAGCCGTGGCGAAGGCAACACTCACCGCATCTTCGACGAGAACAACGGCCTTAACGCGAGCGAGCGACCCGAACAACGGGGTGGACCAGGTGCGTCACCAGCTCGGAGCCAGTCGCCACATCGTCAGCCACATCGAGACCGCCAGCCTCCACACACCGAGATGGTCGACAGCCCCGAGGTGCTCCAGATCAACTCCGCCAGGGCGC